TGCCCCATCCTCAGGGCCGTTGGCCCTTGGGCGTTCCTTGCAACTTGACTGGAATCTTATTTTTCCAGTTCTGGGGATGGAACCAAGGGGCGCTGTAGCCCTGAGCCACGTCCCCGGCCCTCGGGATGTCTGACTGGACTCCTGCGCAGTGCTCCAGCAGCTGGAGGGCCGGAGAGGGCCAGCCCACCGCCTGGGGCCAGCTGGGCCTCGGGACTGGTCTGGAGTAGCCATGGCCCACAGCTCGCTCCCTGCAGCACTGGCCACAGCCACACCGTGGAAAGGACTCGGCTGTCCATCACAGGAGGTGCACAAGCGCAGTGTGGCTGGCCTCTACAGTGGACGTCACCCGGCTGAGAGGCAGTCGGAGAGGGGCAGTGAGGCCCCACACCGACAGCCCGGGGCCCCTGTAGGGTGCTGGGCTTACGGGCACAGTGCACCTGCCCGTCGTCCTGTGTCCCGTCCCTCGCCACTAGAACACTCAGGGTCCCTCCAGGGGACTGGGCTGCGTGAAATGACCACACAGAGACAGAGAGACCTTTCTTTGGGGTCCTGCGATGGCTCCCCTTACCTTCAGGGTCCGTGGAAAGAGAGGGCGAGAGCACGTGCTGACCCCTTTATTGAGGAGAAGCCATTCTAATGAGGCCAGAGTCAGGTTTCGGGGGGCGGAGTCTAGCTTGGTGATGTCCACTGTCTGCAGGCTGACTGACACCTGGGTAGGCCACCCCAAGGGCAGAGCAAGAGAAGGGGACACACAAAGGGCGTTTCCATGGAACATTCTGTGCCAAACAGGGCACAGGGGTAACATCACCAAGGAACGGGTGGGCGGAGCTCAGTCCATGGGGCGAGGCGTCCTCAACCTCCGGGACCAGGGCAGTGTCCAGGTCACTATAGTGACGGTCGGAGCCTCTCGCTTCAGGATGGAAGGCGTGGGTCACTCAGAGGGTCCCCAGTCCCAGCCACTGGGGAGGCAGAGACGGAGGAGCTGGGTGTCGCCCACGGGTTGGGCCCCTGCGAGAGCCGGGGGTGCTGGCCAGGGCTTGCAGGCGGAGGCAGACCTAGTCCTCCACGCAGGGAAGAGGGCGAGTTGCCCCTCCTCTGGCAGAACTGGTGCCCAGGCCAGCAAGGCCGTGTTTTCTTCCAGTGCGGGTGCCCCACCCAGGGCCCCTTGCATGCCAGGCACGCACTCTGCCACCAGCCTCCCACGGCCCTTGACAGTTGGCGGAGCTGTCCAGCCTGCGACACTAGGGAGGCCAAAGCCCACCACCTGTAAGAGCTGAGCCAGGCCGCGCTGCCCTCCGGCAGACTGTCCCCTGTGGGGCAGTCGGGCACCTCTACGTAAGTGGAACCGGCAGCTGGTTAACAGATAAATGATCATTTGTAAAGTTATTAACGAAAAATTGATAGGAGATTCCAAGTCTGCCAGTGCCTAAGCGTTTGGGAAATGGAGGAGATCCTGGCCGCGAGATGACATCAGAGCGCACGTCTGTGGGGGTGCCCTGGGTGGGCGGAGGTCTGGGAGAGACCACAGAGCCTCGCGCTGACGTGGGGGACAGCGCAGGGCGGACTGTTAGTGGCAGGCACGGGAATGAGGTCATGAATGGAGAAGGTGGGAAAAGAGAACAAGCCAACTCTGCAACTTGCAATAGGAAACTGATTAATTAACCTAGTGGCCGAGTTTGCAAAGATGATTCTCCGTGTGAAGGCCTCAGTGTCCACCTCAGTCCCCTTGACGTGTCTGTGCTCAGAAACAGTCCGAGCCCTCCTTGTGCGGTCCATGGTTGCCCACCTGCCCAAGGGCCCCCACTCGATGCCCGCGGGCTGGGCCTGGGGCTAGCCAGGGTCCCACCCCCCAGCTCCCCCCCCCAGCTCTGCAGTTCTGTGCTACCTTTCCAAGGCTGGGGCGGGGCCTGAGGTTCCTTATGGGGTTGCTGGGTGGGAGAAAAGGGAAGATGGTTTCTGGCAGAGGTCAGGCAGCTTTGAAACATGAACCTCGTTCTTTTTGTTGGTACCAGGGATTGAACCCAGGGGTCCTTAACCAACCCCTGAGCCACATCCCCAGCCCTTTTTGAGACAGGGTCTTGCTAAATTGCTGACCTCTATCTTGCAATCCTCCTGCCTCAGCCTCCCAAGTCACTGGGTTTACAGGCATGCACCACTGCATCTGGCTAAATCTTTTCTCTCTATAACCAAATTATAAAGAGGGAAGGTCTGTTTGGGCTCAGGGTTCAGAGGTCTCAGTCACGGCCAGTTGGTTCCCTTGTTCTTGGGCCCGTGGTTGGTACATCATGGTGGTGTGCGTGCCTGGCTGACATAGCCATTGTCTCATGACCAGGAGGTAATAGAGGAGACTAGGGTCCCACCTCCCCTTCAAGGACATGCCCCAGTGGCCCAAGCCCTCCCACGGGGCCCTGACTCTTAAAGGCCCCTCCACCTCTCAATGGCACGGAGTTAGGGACCCTCCTTTAAGACATAGGTTTTTGGGGACGTGCCAGACCTAACTGTAGCACACGCAGACACTGCGGCCACAGGCGTGGGAGGCTCTGAGCAGCCGCAGAGCACGAGTCCAGGGAATCCGGATCTGCTTCTGCTGGTTCTACCATCTCCCCCCGTGGCAAGTCCAGAGGAACAGGCTGGCTGGGGTCAGCTATAGAGTTCCTGAGTGCCCTTGAAATCCTCCTGCCCGGTTATATCTGGATCTCCTTCAGATTTTCAGGTTCAAACCAAACTCATTTAGAATTTTACTACTTTTTAAACAAAAAAATTTTTTAGTTGTCAATAGACCTTTATTTTATTTATTTACATGTGATGGTGGGATTTGAACCCAGTGCCTCACACATGATAGGCAAGTGCTGTACCACTGAGCTACAACCCCGCCCCAGGATTTTACTACTTTTTAAAAAATCAGTTAAAAAGGATTAAAAGGGGCTCACAGTCAGTGGCAAGAGGGTGTCTACCAAAAGGTTGGGTTAGGTAGTCAAGCAACATACCCCTTCAGTAAGGCTCCCTGACAGAACAGACAATCCCAAACCCAATGTGTGGAATCCAGAAGAAAGTCTGAAAAAAGCAACTTCTAAGGAGCATTTCAAAATAGAGTTGGGAGGCCATTGGGGGACAAAGGTCTATGCATGTACTAAAGGGCTACCTAGAAAAGTGAACCCTTTCTTTTTAGTGGCACTGGGGACTGAACTCAGGGGCACTCTATTTTTTATTTTATTTTATTTTGCACCAAGGATGGATCCCAGAGGTACTTAACAACTGAGCCACATCCCCAGATCTTTTTAGTTTTTGAGACAGGGTCTTGCTAAGTTGCTGAGGCTGGCCTCAAACTTGGGATCCTCCTGCTTCAGCCTCCAAAGTGGCTGGGATGACAGGTTCAGCTGGGCGGGAAAGTGAACTCTTCAGCTGGGCATGAAAATTAACAGGAAACTGACTTTGAACCAGGTCAAGGTCTGTGAAGCTGTTAACATCTCTCACTGGGGACTGCAGCTAGGCAGTTGCCACTAATGACCAGTCACATCCACACAGCCTAGTGCCACTAGATTTAGCATGAGGATAGCATCTGTGCACTTTTCTTTTCAGGCAACTTGGGGAGTTTCCTTGCTCCTCTCCTTCCCTTGAGCATTCACCCAGAGTCCTCTCGAGCTATGTTATTCTGAACTGCAGTTCTCAAGCCCAGAGGAGGTTTGCTCACAAGTTTCTGAGTTTGAACTGACAGACAGGTGTATCAGAAGCTTTGAGACAAGCTTTGAAGTGGTATCCCTGGTATCAGGGCTTCCAATTTTGTGCAGGTTCACAGGATTCTAAGGGAGGTTAATCACCAGATTAGCCAATGCCTCAGGGTCCACCAAATACTGCAAAAATATGGAAGCAAACTTGGGTATCAAGAAGAGATGGGATTTGGGGCTGGGGCTGTAGCTCAGTGGTAGCGCACTTGTGTAGCATGGCGAGGCCCTGGGTTCGATCCTCAGCACCAATAAAAACAAACAAAATAAAGGTATTGTGTAAAAATTAAAAAAAAATGAATAAGTAAGTAAAATAATGGTATTGTGTCCACCTACAACTAAGATTTTTTTTTTTTTTTTTTTTTTAAAGAGAGATGGGATTTCTCCAGCGTGGAGGTCCTTAATACTGGCTGCTTTTTGTTGTCAGGCAAGAAACTAGGTTTTACCTAAAGGAACTGCAAAATGGAAAAGCAAAACCAAAGCAACTATTGTCCCAGGGACATTGCAGCCTTTACATTCTCAAATCCTCTAGGAACACCCTCAAAAGCAAATCTAAAAGGTTCTTCAAGGGTCAGGACCCTGGGGGTGCAGCCCTCAGCTCTTTGCTGTGCTGATCTGAGTTGCTGCCTGTTGGCGGCTGAGGTTTGCGGCCCCTCCCCGGTGCAGCAGGGCTCTTGAGGTCCCCGGTCCTGGTGTCCAGCACCAGCTACGTGCGCCGGGGAGTCGTGCGGAGCGTCCAGTGCCCCGGCCCGACGTGCACTCGGAGCCGACTTCAGCCCACGTGGTGATGTCATTGTCTGACTCTGACCCTGCGGGCACCCAGGTCCCCTGTGCCATCCAGTCCTGTCCGGGTTGGGCGTCCCCCGGAGGAAACTGAGTCTGCAGTCCCGTGCACACCTGGTGCCTACGTCCAGGAGGACGCAGAGCAGAGCCGAGCGCAAACCCAGACACAGACGCGGCGACAGGAAGCGCGGCCCAGGGGAACTCCCGGCGCGTCCGTCCTTCGAGCCGCGGTCGGCGGAACCCGGAGAACCGTCCCATCAGAGCAGACGGGGCGGAGCCCAGGAACAATCGCGAGTTTGGGAGCGCGCCCTGCGTACTGGCCAATCAAGAGCTCCGGGAGGAAACCGTCCAATTGAGAGCTCTGGCGTGGGCAGCAAGAACCAATCAGAGGCCGGGGCGGGGCTTCGCGGCTGAGCCGTCCCAGGTGAAGGTGCCCGCGCGGTCCGCCAGCCACTGGGAGCGAGCGCGGGCCCGGGAGGGCGGAGGATGGTGAGAGCGGGCGGCGCCCGAGCCCAGGGGCGGGTGCGAGCGGCCTTGCGGATCCCTGCGCCCCGGAGTCCACGGCTCCGCGAGGCCACACCCGGAGGGCGGCGCGGAGCTCTGGCGCCTGGGCCGCGGGCGACAGTGTCCCAGCGTCCGTGTATGAAGACGGTCGGGGCGGGAGGAGCTGGTGGCTAGTTCCGGAGGTGGCGGGGCGGGCAGGGGCCCCGGGTCAGTTTTGGGAGGGACAGCCTGGGGCTTTAGGGAGCGGATCGGACCCGGGGTGACCTGCCCTGCCGCCTGTCCAGATCAAAGCCAGACTTGAACGGAGAGGCTGTTCGGAAAGGCGGTGGCCGGTAGAGAGGGTGCCCCGTCTCGGAATCCAGCAGGGAAGGACAGGCGAACAGGAGCTGTGAGGGGGAGGCCGGCGGGGACAGGCGGTCAGGTTACAGTTTTGTGCTGGCACCACCCCACGTTCCCCGAGTGACGATTGGTAAGAGGGGATTGGAACACTGGTCGAAGCCCGTGTGAAATAAAACATCCAAACTTAGCCCGCACAGACTTGTATCGAAAAGGATTATTGGGGGACTGGATGTAGGGGACAAGGGACTGTGGCCACATGGGGAGGGGTCTCCTGCAAGCGGCAACCATAATACTGCGGTAGGGGCAGAGGGCGCACTGGAACAGGAGAGTGTTTCTCTCGCGAGGTCCACAGCATCTGAAGACCTGGGTCAGAAGTTTTCCTTCGGGGAGGCCTAAACAAGGCTAGAAAGAGCCAGTCGTGGGAAGACTGATGAAGTCAGGCATCCTAGGCGTGCTGGTCCACCCCGCCTGATGCCAGCTGGTTCTCAGGAGGGCTGTCTGCAGGCTCAGGGTGCCCTCATGCACGCCCTGGAAGAAAGCCAAGGCTTGCCTATCAGACGTTTTGTTCCAGTTGGTCAGCGGGGACCTGCAGTTCAGCTATCCAGTATGTGAGAGAGGGTGGGAATTTGGAGGGTCTGGGTCTGATCTCCTGGGCCCACAAGGCACGACCCTTCACGGCTCATGTGCTTTGCAGAACCCTTCTCCAAAACACAGGGTGGGATTCCTTTCCCCTCTGCTGTCTCCGGGAGCACACACTCACCCCGGCTCAAGGTCACTGCCAGCTGTGGCTAGTGGCACCTGTCACAGCTCAGCACCAGTGCTTCCTGATCCAGCTCAGCTTCCATTCCTTGTAAATAGCAGCTTCTCTTGTCTTTTCCTTGTCTTAATGAAGGTGGGAAGTTTTTTTATCTGTTTTTTGCCTGTTGCTGTTAGATTGTATTCCAGGGTTTAGCCTGAGTGTGCTTTTGGGGAAAAACGTCTCAAAATAGGAAACATTCATTACCTTTCCATTAAAATTGTAGGAAGACACAGACCACCCCACAACTCAGGAGAGGAAGGTGAAGACTTGGGTGGAAAGGAGTGTAAAAATTGTAGTGACCCTGCCATGCAGGACTCTGTGCCACTTCTCTTTAGTGTCTGAGCATAATGCCCCTTCTGCAAAACACAACCCAGAAAACTGAGAAGTGTCAGTTTGATTCACAGTTTAAATTTGTCAGTTTATCGTGAGGGTAAGTATTGAGGATAAGGATAGTGGATGCTGTTTTCTTTAAGGGATCTTGGAGGGATAATACATTTCTTAGAATCTGCCCTCCCCATTCTTGAACATAGGGTGGATGTGTGATTCTGCTGCATTCTGATTCAGACACGCTCAAAGGGCTTAGTGTGAAGCAGGTGCATCACCTGGTTGGGGACTGGGGTCTGAGGACAGTGTCTCAGCTGAGCCCCAGTGGTGCACCTGGGCTGGCTCAAAAGCCTCCCTTGCTGGGGCCTCCAGCCCCTGGTGCAATGGCAGAAGGAGCCATCTGCTCAGGAAAGCAACTGAGCATTGGGGGGCTCCTGATGCAGATGTGTTTGTGGGTGTTTTGTCCTGAGGTGGCCCTCAACCTGTTTCCTGTGGTTTGGTTTGGATATGCACCAAGTTGGAGCAGTCAGAGTATAATCTGTGCCAACTAAGTAAATCTATGATGGCCTCACTAAGGGAGAAGCTCATGTTCAACAGGTGGTAGGCTTATGAGTATTTCTAAGTCACAACCTGGAGGGAAGGAGTGGGGGTCCTGAGCACCCAGTGGACCGTCTCTGCTTGCTTTCCATCCATAGCGTAGACCCCTGCCCACGAAAATGTAGAATAAAGGCACTGTGTCCACTTAAATAAAAAAAATAAATATTAAAAAAACGGGGTACCCCCCCATTCTTTTTGTTTTGCCACTGACCACACCGTTCACAGTCAGGGCCAGTCAGGGTCTCTCGGCTGGGATCAGTGAGTCCTGACCCACACAATGTGGAATGGTGCACATGGGCATCCTTTTTTTTTTTAGTATGGATAGATATTTTGCTCAGCCGTGTCAGTTGATGGGCCCTTGGTGGTTTTGGGGTCTGGCTGCTGGGAGATTTGAGCAAGCCACATATGGGTCACCTAACTGGTGATGTCTTCCATCTCTCCCTGTCCTGACTGCCGTCTCAGTCACTGTGAGGGCTCGCCCCAGCTGCCCCTGCCCCTGGCCCCACAGCACCCCGCCAGGGTGCCTGGCATTCCACTTGCTGCCCATTGTCACTGCGCACAGCAGTGTGAGGGCCAAGGGCTCAGGATTCCTGAGTCGATTCCAGTGTCCCCAACTGCCCGCCTCTGCCTTCCCTGCATGACGGGGGGGACCGTGCCTTTCTGAAACGGAATGTGTGATGTTCTAGGACCCAGTGGCCTTTGAGGATGTGGCTGTGGACTTCTCCCCAGAGGAGTGGGCCCTGCTGGACGGTGCTCAGAGGGACCTCTACAGGGACGTGATGTTGGAGACCTGCAGGAACCTGGCCTCCGCAGGTGGGGTGGCGGCATTCCTTCCCTGTGTGGGGAGAATATGTCTGTCTTTTTTCCTTTGGGCTAAGAAACTGGAGCATGCTTGAAGAGAGACAAAAGTCTTCTCCAGGAGGCCCCGTGCGGCGGCTTGGGAGCTGAGACAGGAGGATCCTGAGTTCAAGGCCAGCCTCAGCAGAGTGAGGCGCTAAAACTCAGAGAGAGTTGTTTAAATAAAATACAAAAAAAATAGGGCTGGAGACGTGGCTCAGTGGTTGAGTGCCCCTGAGTTCAGTCCCTGGTACCCCCCCACACAAAGAAAGTCTTCTCCATGAAACAAAATTTTATATCTTATTGCCGTTTTTCTTAGCAGGTTTTTTTTTTTTTTTTTGCTGCAAGGGATTGAAGTGAGGGGTCATGTGCCAATGAGCCACGTCCTGAGGTCCCTGAGTTCTGTAAGTGGGCACAGTCTCCAGTGTCACTCTGGAGCGTCGAAAGCAGCTCTGTGGGTCACTCCTGTGCGTTCCACCGTGGTCAGCCACGTGCGATGTGGCCGCTTTGCTGAAGTGAGCCCCACACTCCTGCCCCAGCAGCCTGGAGCGGAGCCGCCCTGCGCAGGCCAGGTGGTGCCCTTCCCTCCTGCCCTGGTTGTGTCCTCTCTACATGGTGGCAGCCCTCACACCCGCCTGAGCTCCCAGTGGCAGCTGGGGACCGAGATGGGATCCCTCCAGGGTCCGAGAAGGAACCCTCGAGGAGCAGTTTTGCATGAGAGGTGTAGGGACCAAGTCCGCCCTTGGTCCCTGCTCCTCCTGTCCCTCCTCTCACCGCCCCTGGAAGTGGCAGGATTGGGCTGTGCCTCTTGCCTAAGGCCTCCCTTGGTGCTGTCAGCGTAAGCCTCCGACCATGTAGAGCTGTCTCACAGGGAGCAGGCGGCATCGGAGCTTTTCCTTTGCCCTGACAAAGCCCAGCACCAAGGTCCTCCCAGGCTTTCTGACTCCCAGGTTCACCTTACAGAATGGGGTTTCCCGGGCTGGGCTGGGCTCAGAGGCAAAGCGCTCCGCAGCATGCATGAGGCACTGGGCTCAACCCTCAGCACCACGTAAATGTAGAATAAAGGCACTGTGTCCACTTAAATCAAAAATAAATATTAAAAAAACGGGGTATCCCTCCCCCAATTTCTGGGTCAGAATACAGAAAGAAATGTACCTGGGGTCTGTTATCTCACCATTCTTTTCCCAAGAAATAATTGTGTCACCGATTATCCCAGGTTGTGGCTTTCACACTGAAGCCAGCGGGTCACGTTTTCAGCAGTATATTTTGAGAAATGGAATATCCAGCGACGATGTTACAAGAAGGGATTTCTGGTCTGCTTTTGGAGAAAACTGGAGGCTCGAAGACCCTGGCGATGACCAGGTGCAGGACAGGTGTTGGAGGTGAGTGCCCTCGGGCATGTGAGCATCCTCTCCCGTGGTAGGCTGACTCAGGACGAAATGAAGCACGTCGTCCTTGCTGGACAGTGGGTGCCCGTGGAGGGTTTTCATAGGAGTGCTTTTATCAATGTGATGTTGACACTGAGAATCTGGAACAACTCGGCCCCGCCAGCAGGGGCCCAGGCAGGAAGTGCCATTGTGAAGGCTGCCGTGGGCCTCTGGCCGGCCGGTGAAGCCCAGGGCCCAGGACCCTGAGGCAGCAGTGCTGACAATAAGCAGGAAGATGGCGCGGAGTAGCCAGAGCCATCGTGCACACCTGCTGATGGGCTGCAGCAGCATGGGACCTGCATGCGGTTTAACAGTGTGCTTCCTGTTTTGAACAGAGGCAGTGTGGTGGACGGCCTCTCCAGACAGACGGAGGGTCAGCGTGGAGACGCCGTGGGCCACGCTGAGCGCAGGCGTGTCCCCAGTGGAGGTCAGCCCTGGGAATGTACCACGCGTGCAAGGGCCTCCAGGAACCAGCAAGCACCGCGCACTGGACACAGGCCTCATCCTTGTGAGGAACGTGAGCAAGCTGGCGGCAGCCCGGGTCCCCATGCGAAAACTGACACTGCAGAGAGACCCCACGAACGAGGGGACACCGGGGGAGCACCGAGTGAAGACGTCAGAAGTCCCAGTAGCAAACAGTCTCTGAAATGTAAGAGATGCGGAAAAGTTCTCTCTTGCCCCTCATCCTTACGGGCTCACGTGCGGGGTCACCGAGGGGAGAAAAGGCACGCGTGTGCCGTGTGTGGGAAGGCCTTTCAGTATCACTCCTACCTTGCCCGGCACACCAGGACGCACACCGGGGAGAAACCCTATGAGTGTGCGGAGTGCGGGAAGGCCTTCAGCTGCCCCTCCTATTTCCGCGACCACGTGCGGACGCACAGTGGGGAGAAGCCCTACCGCTGCGCGCACTGTGGGAAGGCCTTCAGCTGCTACTCCTCCTTTCGGGATCACACGAGGACGCACACTGGAGAGAAGCCCTACGAGTGCACCCGCTGTGGAAAGGCGTTCGCGTGCTACTCGTCTCTTCGGGAACACGGAAGGTCACACAGTGGGGAGAAGCCCTACGACTGTGAAGAGTGTGGGAAAGCCTTCAGGTACCCCTCGTCCCTGAGAGCGCACCTGAGGACGCACGCGGCCGAGAAGCCCCATGCGTGCGAGCAGTGCGGGAAGGCCTTCAGCTGCGCCACCTACTTCAGGAGGCACGCCAAGACCCACAGTGGGGTGCGACCCTACCAGTGTGCCCAGTGTGGCAGGGCCTACCGCTTCTCGTCCTCCCTCCGCATCCACGCGAGGACGCACACCGGGGAGAGGCCCTTTGGCTGTCAGCAGTGTGGCAAAGCCTTTGGCTGCGCCTCCTCCCTCCGAGAGCACGTGAGGACCCACAGTGGGGAGAAGCCTCACCGCTGCAGGCAGTGCGGGAGAGCCTTCAGCCACCCTCAGTATTTCCAAAAACACATGCGGTCACACAGCGGAGGGAAGCCCTACGAATGCACCCAGTGTGGGAAAGCCTACCGCGGCTCCTCGTCCCTGCGCGTGCACATGAGGTCGCACACGGGGGAGAGACCCTACGAGTGCAAGCAGTGTGGGAAAGCCTTCAGGTACCTGGCGTCCCTGCAGGCCCACAGGAGGTCACACTCTGGAGAGGAGCTTTGAGGACACAGCTGCGTGGGACGTTGCTCCCTCGGCCTGAAGCCCTTGGGAGAGGAAGAACACACCAGGGAAGACCCTATTTAAGTTCAGAAGGGGAAACCTGGGAGGGAAGTCTCTCCACTGTTACCAACGTTTACCTTCAAGTGCCTCGCTTACCAGGGCTCCCTGATGTTTAAGTCTCTTCTTGGTGTTGCTGACATGCACAGTGAACCCCCTGTTGGGTGCCATCACTGGTACTGTGTATATTTCATTAGATAAGACCTCAAATAATCTGGCGTCCACGTAGACTTGTCTAGTACACGTTATGATTTTGGACCTATGGGTGCTACCGTGTACAATTTGATGTGATTTTACATTAGAAGCTTTCTCTGTATATTACTTGATGACAACTTACTTATTCGTATGCAGTGCTGAGACTTGACCCCCGGGCCTCACAGCCCTCATGAGAAGCTTTTGATTCCTACTTTTGTTTCCAGTTTGAGGTCAGAATGTGACTGTTGTTGTTGAACTTGCTTTTCTGGTCCACAGGTGCAGGTACTGGACAGACACACACTGTCCCCCTTTCTCTTCATTCTTCATTATGGAAAGAGGCGTCTTCCTTTGCTGCTAGTGGACTCATGTAATGCACCGGAATTAGTAATTCTGGAAGGTTCTTCAAAGAGTCTCTTCCCAACTGATTTGTGATCATATTTTGATCTTGACCGGATATTGGACACACTGCATTGCTGAGAAGAGAGACCCTCTGGCATAAAGGTGAAAGTTCATGTATCAGTGGTCCCACTGAATTGGCCATCAGCATGAATAAGGCTGGAAAGTGTATGTCCTGAGTTCACGAGAGGACAGCGTGTGAGTTTTGGGATGTGGAAGTGGATAACCAGTATTCTCAGTAGTTTTTTTTTTTTAATATTTAGTTTTAGGTGGGCACAATATTTTACCTTTACATGGTGCCGAGGATCGATCCCAGTGCCTCATGTATGCCAGGCGAGCGCGCCTCCGCTGAGCCCCAGCCCCGGCCCTTTGAGTAGTTTTATTGGGAGACAGGGTCTCATCAATTGTCACCCATTTACCACGGTGACCTGTGGTCCTAGGTCAAGCACATTTTTCTGATTATCTCTGCCAATCTAGAATGGCGCAAAAGCAAACCCGGCACCCCTCTTGGCACGTGCTGCAGACTGTCCACACACCTCGCGTCTCGGGCCCTCCTGGGCTCCGTGCTCCCAGGTTCCCCTTGGGCTGCAGCTCTGTGGTTCCCTGACCCCCCCCCCAGCCCTTCCCCTCAGCTCTCCTGTCACCTGGTTTCCGCGGTGAGCACCTGTGTCCTGACAGTTATGTGGGAGCTGAGAGCCCGTGTCCTTGTAGGGCTGCTGAGGCAGCTCCTCTAGCGGATCTGTCACTTCATTCCTGTTGAGAGCCACAGCCAGTCGGAATGGCCCCTGGCATTTTGCCAGAGTAATGGTTGAGAGGCGAGCCCTTAAGATGATGCTGGATTGATTCAATTGTATATAGACCGCTGCTGTCCGCCTCAGGCGCCCGCTACTTTGGAGTTCTCGCGGGAATTCCTGGGGAGTTCGCGTTGGTTGGTGAAGTTCCGGTGGAGGGAGTTCCGGTTGGTGTGGTGTGCCGGAGAGGAGCTGCGTGGGTGGCGTTGGGGAGAGTTCCAGGGGAGTGTGCGTGGAGTGCTGGTGGAGTTCAGCAATAAAGTTTCCTGTTTGAACATACAAGTGCTTTGTGGCGGCTCGGTGATTTGTGCCCAGCCAGACTGCGGCACATTCCCAGCAGGTAGTGGTGTCATTAGTGCCGGTGGCTTCAGAGCCCATCACAGATCTCTGTGACCTGGAAAGTCAGAGCCGAGGTGGAGGACTTGATGGCCTTTCTCTGGGGTCACAGTGGTTCACACTGGTTTCCTTGGGAAGGTGCCTTAGAACTCGAGGCACTGCATTCTGCGTGTGTGCAGAGGACTTGGCACCCGCTCCCAGGCCTGCACTCACCGTGTCCCATGAGTGTGCGAAGAACCTCGTTGCACTCCTCTGGGAGACACTGCATACCATGCCCATCGCCCGATCATCTACCGCCTGGCCACGGTGTAAACTCCGCTGACTGTGGCCCCAGGCGCCTCACATGGCAGCCTGGATTCCCACCCGGTCCCCTCTCCTGTTTGGCAGTACCGGGGCTGGGTGCAGACGTCACGCATGCTGGGCAAGCGCTCGGTGCTTTTCATCTCCTCTTCTGGGACGGCCTCAGAAGTTGCAGGCTGGGCTCCATTTGCAGTCCTCCCACTCATCTCCCAGGAGCTGGGATGGAAGCCTGTGCCACTGTGCCCGTCCCCTCGTTTGACATGTTGATTCCAGATGATGACAGAAACAAGACACCACCAATCACTCTGAAAAGCAAGTCAGAAGTGTCGTGGAGTTAAACAGGCACCTGAGAAAGACTCCGGAAGGTGCCGCTTCCTGATAGGACTTTCAGAGCAGTCCCGGTGGAGAGGCGGGGGTCGTGACCAGGCAGTGGGTGGAGGGACACAGCTTCTCGGTGACGAACGCACGTCCTGCCAATGAGAGCCCGATGGGGTGAGGAGGAGCTGGGGGTGCTTTTTAGGTCTTGGGTCTGGAGGCAGAGAACACCTGGGGCCCTCAGCCAGGGCGCTCACAGCCCTGGCACAGCCGGGCATGTCCCCCTAGAGCTTCACCCCAGGCTCTGGGCATTTTTCTGAGCAGCCTCTTTCTTTTTCTTTCTTCTTTTTTAACATTTTAGAATTTGTTCTGGTTAGTTACACTTGACAGCAGGATGCACTTCAGCTCACGGGACACAAACGGGGGCAGCTTTTCATTCCTCGCTGCCCGGCTGTGGTCCCCCAGGAGCCTCTGTGGTGGTGTGTTGGTCACCGTCTTCCCTGCCCCCGAGCCCCCTCACCACCCCTCGCTCTCTCCCCTTTGCCAAAGGAGGCCCCAGGCTCTGCCCTGGCACCAACAGCCACAGTGCAGCCCAGGCTGTGCCGGGGCTGCCTGAGAGCAGGACTGCACCTAGCAGGACCAGGGCACAGACCGCACCCGTCACAGAGGCTGCCCAGCTGTGTGGACAGTGCCACACACCCTCCCACACAGCGCCAGTGTTCCTTTGTCAGAGTCCAGCAGAGCCATTGCTCTTCAAGTGCCCCCCGAGCTGAGCGAGGAGCACCAGCAGAAGTGGCGGAAATGACCAGATCCAAGGCATCCCAAGCTTATCTGCTGAACTGTCACGGACTACCCTGAGCCCAGCATGGCGCCCACCGGCCAGTCCTGAGGAGCTCGCCTCCAAGGCAAGTGGTTGGGTCCAACACTGATGCAACACCCTGACACAGTGGCCATCTGTCTTCATGGGACCGTTTAACTGTCACCTGGCTTCCTGAATTTGCTGTGTCCTAAAGGTCTGCAGCCTTCTGGGCAGCGTTGGTGAAAGTTGTGTGCATGACTCACTGTGGCTACACCGCCACCTTTGTCGTGACCTTGGCACAATTGAAAGGCCCTGGAGTCCTGGGCGTCTGGAACTCTTGCAGGGCTAAGAGCAAGAAGAGCCCGTCACTCTCCTACAGAAAACCCAGGGGCGGGGATGTGGCTCGAGTGGTAGCGCACTCGCCTGGCATGCATGCGGCCAGGGTTCGATCCTCAGCACCACATACAAAAACAAAGATGTTGTGTCCGCCAAAAACTAAAAAATAAATATTAAAAAATTCTCTCTCTCTCTCTTTAAAAAAAAGAAAAGAAAACCTAGGAAGGGTCGCACTCACCTAGCACATGTGAGACGCTGGGTTTAATCCTTAGCTGCACAAAAAAATAAAATACAGGAACTGTGTCCACCTGCCACTAAAAAAAAAAAAAAAAGTATTGAGAAAGTTGACATGTTACTTCCCGAGATATTTTTAATTCTTTTAAAAAGAAGAAGGAATAGCGATGCTGCCACATTGATGTCCCTAGCAGCTCAGTTCCCAACAGGTAGCTGTGGGGCCAGCCCAGACGCCACTCAGTGGACGAGTGGACAGGGAACCGTGGCACACACGGAACACGACTCGCCTTTCGAGGACAGAATCGTGGGTGTGCAGGTGAGTGGATGGAGCCGGAGGGTACCAAGTCAGTGAAGTTAGCCAGTCCCCAAACCAAAGGCCCAGCCCTCCCTGGTAAGTGGGTGTGACCCACGTGGGGGGTGATGGAAGAATGGTGCAGCCCTTTGTTTTGGGGCTGCGCCGCGCCCAGCCCTGGGCCAGGTGATCTGAAGTAGTACTTCACACACAGAATGTACTTGGTCTGAGCACAGCTGGACATGAGGAGTAGCTTCTATAGTCTCCAGCAAAGTACGGACGATTTTGAATGTTCCTAACACAAAGAAATGACAAATGTGCACTGCAACAGATATGCCAGCCAGTCACCCCAACCTGACCGTCAGATACTCTACGTGTGTACTGAAATCTCCCACTGCACTTCACACATCGTCCGCCCAGTTACTAGGTGTTAATGCAAAATAGACATTTTAAATACACAAAGCATCAGACTGTCATGTTAGGTAACATCCCTTTGCATGTATTAATATGTGGTAGCTTACTGTGAATATTTGTCGTCTGTCTTGATCTTCAAAAATAGACACTGGATGTTCTGGGCCTCTTCTGTACTCGAGACTGCTAGGAGTGGTCATCCAGGCTGGGAACCAGGGAAGACGTCTTAAAGGTGCCCTGATCTGCAGGACTGCCATTATAATGGTGCATTTCTTCCAGCTCCACTCTTTCTGGAACATCTGCTTTAGTAACTGGTGAGTTGGTGTCTGCTAGCTTTTCATTGCTGTGTCAAACTAACTGAGGAAAACCAGGTCGAGGAGTAAAGATTCACTGGGGCTCCTTTTCAGAGGTTTCAGTCTGTGGTCGGCCAGCTCCATTGTTTTGGGCCTGCAGTGATGCACATCATGGCGGGAGGCTTTGGTGAAGCAGAGGCGCTCACCTTATGCGGGGAAGCAGAGAAGGGGCCAGGCACAAGATACGTCCTTCTAGGGCATGTCCCAGTGACCTCCCTCCTCCAACTAGGCCCCGTCTCCCACAGTCTCCACCATCTCCCAACAGGATCGATCCACTGGTGAGGCTGGTGTCCTCGTCATCCAGCGCTCCCCACAGCCCCACCTCTGAGCCTGACTGAACGCGGACCCCACCTCCCACGGGAGACTTTGGGGACGTTCCAGGCCCAACCGTAGAGTTCTCTTGGAGAAGGGAAATTGGGACATGGTATCACACCGTCCACTGTGGAAGCATTCCTTCTGGCTGAGCCCTCTGTTGGAAGGAGGACACGGTGCCTAGCCCCCCACAGGTTTTCCTGTCAAGGAAGGTGAGCCAGGAGGACGGCACGTCACTTTGTGAGACCCTCTCTCAAAATGAAACAGAAGGAGGCCTGGAGAGTGTGACTCAGTGCAGACTGCCCTCAGCTCAATCCCCGTCACCGTGAAAACAAAACTGAGGAGGCAGCGAGCTCTCGGGTCACTGAGACTGACGGAAGCGCAGTGTAAGTTGACCCACGTGGCCACTGGGGCCCAGTTCTGCACCCTCCTCGCCCTCCACGTTCCATGACCACGAGTTGAGTGTGTGTGTGTGGTTGTGTCTGTAGACATGATCCTAAGCTAGAGCTGGTATATATTTGGTCCAGGGATGGAACTCGGGGCGTCGACCCCTGAGCCACACCCCAGCCCTGTCTTGTATCTTATTTAGAGACAGGGCCTCACTGAGGTGCTTGGCCTCTTGCTGAGGCTGGCTCTGAACTGCCATCCTCCTGCCTAAGCCTCCTGAGCTCCTGGATTACAGGGCTCCGCTGCGCCAAGCTGGATTCATACACTTGTAATCACTCTGTAAGAGGTCACTGGAAATGCCACTTGCTAGATGTCCTAAGTCTTTACTTGCCTGGGGTAATGGGCACCCCTGCCCGCTCCGCCCTCCTGGGAGCCTTCCCTTGGGGCCGCCTCCGCCCACCCGGCCCTCCCCACTCAGGAGGCCGCCCTCACTCCCAGAACCGGGAAGGGCATGGAGCTCGCCCTGTCCTCACTGGGAGGGGGAGGGGGAGGCTCTCGCCCTGGTCTCACCAGGACAGGGCCACCTATGGGGCGTGCTGGCTCCCTGTCCTCTCCTGAGAAGATACAGGGACGCCCGTTCCCCTGCCCCTCTGGGAGGGGACAACTGCCCGTCTCTGCCCCCGGGAAAGGACCGTCCTTCTGAGGCCAGGAGCCAGCTGCCTAGGACAGGGCCCTCATGGACGTCACTGCTAGCGTCCCCCTTCCCCAGGCGCGGGCAGTCCCCGCTCCTCGCAGGACGCTTTCATTCAGGGCCAGGAGAAGGTCATCTCTGGTGACAGCTGGCCAGATCTGAACTGTGACTATCTTCATCTTCTGCCGTCGCTGTTTGTCCCTCCGTCGGGGGACTTTGGACGACAGGCCGAGGCCTGCGCAGCACTGCGGCCGGAGGTCCTCGGGCCACGCGCCCTGTCACCGAGTCACGTGGGCCGCCGCGTCCTCCTCCCCCTGGCCCCGCGAGGCTCCGCAGGTCTGGCCACCATGGGCAGCGCTAGGCCAAGGGTGTTGCTGGGTCTGCGGCCGCTGAAGGCGGTGCCGGGGCACGGGGCCAGCTGCCGCTCGATGGTGCCAAGTGAGGACACAGAGGGCCACGGCCGCCCTAACTCTGCTTCCACCTGTCAGAGTGACAAAGGGGCAAAGTACTGATGGCTGGGCTTCTGGAAGGGTCCCTGCCACATAATGTCCCAGACATTTGGTCCTCTGGCTCCTGTCCTCAGTGGCTTGGGCCAGTGGGAGGTGGGCACCTATTGCAGGAGAAAGGCCCGAGGACCCGTCCAGCTGGCTCCCCAGACTCCTGGGGGACGCCCAGGGAGCCGGCCTCGAGGCGGCAGCAGAGCCAGAGGCCCCCCCCCGGCCGAGGTCCTGCACTAGCCAAGCCTCCGCGGGGACTTGTGAATCTCCCCATGACCGCCCTGACAGCCAGGGGCCAGGAGCTGAGAACCAGGCAGCCGTGGCCAGCAGCGGCTACCATGAGACACTGCGAGAGCTGGGGAAGGAGGAAGGCCCAGCCCAGGGGGACGGACGATCCCTTTGACTGGGGACTGAGCACGGCCACCTCACCACCGAGCCACAGCCCAGCCACTGCTTTGTTTCGGGACAGGGACTGGCTAAGATGCTGGGATCATAGGCATGTGCCCGTTCCTGCCTACATTTGTTTATTCAAGTAAAACGATATAAAATTGAAACACCTGAGAACAATACCTTACTAAAATAATATGAAAGATTTCAAACTGTAAAATAAAAATGAAGTTGTGCTTATGCTCTTGTCACATACATAACAACTTCTATGAGATAATCAATAAGATGGTTTTGTGGGAGCCACTACACTGGGGAGACTGTGGAGATTTAACATCCAATTTTGCTTCTAAGAATGATAAAATCTGAAATATTTATCTGGGTTTTTCCAGTGGAGCTCTTGATGGTGACAGAAAATTGAAATTTAAGAAACATTTTTGAAAAGAAATATAGATATGAAAAACTTCCAGGAGAAACTTACCCTAATGACAAGCTATAGCATGCTCTTTGTCATCTATTTATTTAGGTGCTGGAGATCAAACCCAGGGTATTTGACCACTGAGCAGTCCTTTTAAAAACCTTGTGAGACAGGGTCTGGCCCCCAAACCCGTGGTCCTCCTGCCACCATCTCCTAAGTGCCTGGGATCACAGGCAGGCACCTGTGCCCAGCTAGTGTGCACTTTATTTAGGAGTATGCACCCTTAAATATCATTTCTCATGAAACTTGTTAAAGTATTCGTGAAGCTTTCACTTTCTGACAGTTTAAAAGGATTTAATTTTATAATGATGGTAACTATTTGCCTTTTAAAGGTAAAACACAAATCCAACTGGCACACTGTGGTTTGGGGTTTTAGTACTCAGGACTAGGAAACAAAATCAAGAAACACCACAGCCGTGCAGAGACACATGATGTACTAGTCTGTTCTCCACTAAAAAGAAAAAGAAAATAAAAACCAGAGAAAGAATGTCTTGGTTTAGAACCAGGTGTGGTGGCTGGCACTCACCTGTTATCCCAGCAACTCAGGAGGCTGAGGCAGGAGGATCGCATGTTTGAGGTCAGCCCCAGCACAGTGAGGCCTTCCGCAACTTAGCAAGACCCTGTCCATAAAGGGTGTGGGAGGCTGGGGGTCGGGCTCAGTGGTGAAGTACCCCTGCGTTTGTGTGGTGTGAACTGATAAATACAATCAACAAGAGTGTAAGTGCTACTCTAATAATATTTAAGTAACAGAAAAACTTAGTATATAAAAATCAAACCTATTGTTACATTAAAAATGCATTTGAAATCACCATGGGTGCAGCAACTTCAAAATGAGAAAAGAGTTAAGTGAAGAAGAGCATCAACCACTCCCCTCTGCAGTATAGCTGAGAGGAGCGCTTCCTTAGGTCCGTGCAAGAGTGGGATGCTCATTGCCCATGGGTCCATTTTAAGCATGAGAGGTTGACAGTATGTGGGTATTGACAGTATGGGCTATTGACAGTATGTGGTATTGATACAGTACGTGGTATTGGCAGTATGGGGTATAGACAGTATGGAGTATTGACAGTACGTGGTATTGGCAGTATGGGGTATAGACAGTATGGGGTATAGACAGTACGTGGTATAGACAGTACGTGGTATTGGCAGTATGGGGTATAGACAGTATGGGGTATAGACAGTATGTGGTATTGAGACAGTATGGTGTATTGACAGTATGGGGTACTGACAGCACGTGGTATTGGCAGTATGGGGTATTGACAGCATGTGGTCTTTTTCTCCCGTGTACTGAGGTTTTTACAGCATTGAACATGAATTTGCATGGAGTGACCCCATATTTGTCACAATTACTGATTTCTGGTGATGCTCTTGGGTGTTCTGCGGGTGACTGATGGCTAGAGCTCCTGAGTGTCACATGCATTCCTAGGCGCCTGCCCAGGGCGCCTTCTTGGCGTGGTTTCCAAGGAGCCACCTGAAGCCACTTCCCACGCTCTGCTCTCCCGGGTGGGCTCCCCCCATGACGATCAGGGATGGGGCCGGCCGAGGCTCCCACGCTGCTCACGTTCATCGGGCTTCTCTCCAGCGTGAGGTCCCGGTGACCTTGACACGACCTGGGATCAGGGGTGCCTTCCCTCGTCTCCCACATTCGTCCGACGCGGGGAGGCCACCGGAGGCTTTTCCACACCGACCCTGGGAAGGGCCCCCGCAACGTGGGCCCTCGGGTCCCCTCACGGGCCCGGGGGGGCCGAGGGCTGGCCCTCGGCGGCGTGCATGGCCCCGTGCGCGCGCAGGGTCTCGGGCAGGCTGAAGGTCTTCCCGCAGCGCGCGCACTCGTAGGGCTCCTTGCGGGCGTGGGTCATCTGGTGGCGCTGCAGCGACTGCGGGTACTTGAAGGGCCTCCGGCACTGCCCGCAGGCGTACGGCTTGGCCCCGGAGTGCGTCCGCAGGTGGTTCTGGAAGGCCGACGGGTAGGCCAGGACCTTCCCGCACTCGCTGCACGCGAACTCCCTCCGAGCCCCCGCCGGGCCCGCGCCGCGCTGGCCTTCGGCGCGCTGGCCCTCGCGGGTGTCCTGGGCTCCGTGGTGCGTCTTCCTGTGTCGCGTGAGGGACCTGGAGTGCTGGAAGCCCCGGCCGCACTGCTCGCACGCGTAGGGCTTCCCCCCAGGGACGGTCCCCGCGGGTCTCCGGGAGGCGCGGACAGAGTCCTTCCCACGGACCTCACTCCTACCCGGCCCCTCGGCCGCGTGGTCCCCCGTCGCGAGGCCCGAGGGACTGCACACCCCGGGGGGCGCTGTCGCCCACGCCTGGCCCGCGTCGCTTCCGCCTTCAGTGCGCGCCGCGAGCTGTCCCGTGAGGGAGGACAGAGGAGGAAAGGCCCCCGCGCGCGGTTCCTCCCCGCTGGCTTTCTCTCCGAGGCTGCCCAGGAGCCAGGGGCAGGTGCAGGCCGGTCCGCACCCCCGACGCCCACAGGGCCACTGTCCACTGGGCCACCCGGCGGGCCTCCCGGGGCAGGAGAGGCGCACGAAGGCTGCGGCACAGCCGGGGCGCCCGCACGGCCTCGGGTCAGGAGCACCTCGCGCGCACTGGCCGGGACGAGGGCCGGGGCTGAGGGGAGCCTCGCCGCCTCCACTGAGGCTGTCCTCCACACGACCTCTGCCAAGAAAACGGGAAACGTCTTATAGCGCGATGACAATGGCGTTAACAGGGAAGTGTGGAACTCTGCCTTTGCATTCAGCCTCGTGAAGTTTCTATTCTGAACTGTCTAAAACGGGGAGAGACAGGCTCTGGAAGAGGCCCAGGGATGTCATCACTAAACAGCTCTGACACCGTCCGTAGATCAGTGCGACCCTCACATGGCACCAGTGTGCAGTGTGTGACAGTGACGCACCCGTCCCCACACACGATCATGTCAGGAAGGGCACTGATGGGTGTACGGTACTGATATCTGTCCGGGGCTGGGCTGTAGGTCCTCCAGGGCTGGCCTAGTACCGGGTGGCACTGGGTTCCACCCTCAGGACCACAGGAAAATGGATAAATAAATAAAACGAAGGCACTGTGTTCATTTACAACTAAAAAGATCTTTTAAATATATATGCAATATGTATCCGTACAAAATAGGCTTCCCTCTAATAGTCTATGAATTGTTTCATTTAGTATTTAAATAAAATTCAAAAAATTTCTCATTAAAATTCCTACAAATCAACAATTTAGAACCGTTAGGTCCCCAGACACGAGTAACTCCGTTTTACTGCTGGGACTCCATCTTAACCCAAACTGGAATTACAAACTGCCAATAAAAGGAGGATCACAGTACCCATCCCCCACCACCCTCCAGGCCCCTCCGTACAGAGCTCTGCCGTTCCCCAGCCACCTGCCCCTAGGTCCACCGAGCCCGCTGCCCCCGAGGTCATTTCCAGCTGGTTCTTGTGCCTCCTCCAGAAGATCGAAGCTTCCGAGGGGCGCTGCGCTGCGCCCTGCAGAAGGCCCGCTGCAGCCATTCTCTGTCAGTACCCTTCCCGGCACAGACTGTCAGTGTGGAACTGTGTGTCCAGCTTCCCTGGCAGGACTGCACAGGTCTACGAGCTCCACCTTGTAATGGTTTTCCTTTAAAAAAAAGTCACGACCTACTGGTCCCCAGGGACACCCTTTCTCTTACGAGTGCGACTCACCTCAGGTGTGCCCCTTGGGTCTCAGGCTCATCTTCCATGGGATGGTCTCCAGAGTTTTCTAAAATGTGGGCATAGGAATTAATTCTTGTGAACCTTGCCATTTTATGTTCCTCAGATATTTCCCCTACACAAAATCTGCTGAGAAACTCATGTCCTGGCTTTAAATGGAGCCTCATAACTGAAACAGAAAAAAGCAAACACACTGGTGTGTGTGTTTGTGTGCATGCATGTGTGTGTCATGCATGTGTTTATGTGTGTATGTGTATGTCTGTGTGTGCATGTGTGTGTATGTGTATGTTATGTGTGTGCGTGTATGTCTTTGTGCGTGTATGTCTGTGTGTGCGTGTATGTCTATGTGTGCATTGTGTGTATGTGTATATGTTATGTGTGCATGTATGTCTATGTGTGTATGCATGTGTGTATGTGTGCATGTGTGCATGTATGTTATGTTTATGTGTATTATGTGTGTATGTGCATGTCTATGTGTGTATGCATGTGTGTATGTGTGTGTCTGTATGAGTATGTGTATGCGTGTATGCGTGTGTGTGTGTATGTGTGTGTGTGTGTGAGAGAGAGAGGGAGAGGGGAGAGACTCGGAATTTAACCCAGACCCTCTACCACTGAGCTACACTCCAGTTCCCTTCCCCATTTTTAAACTTCTGAGGTAGGGGCTGGACGCTCGCCTGGCACGCGTGAGGCGCTAGGTTCGATTCTCAGCACTGCATACAAATAAATACAATAAAGGTCCATCAACAACTAAAAAATACATTGAACAATTTTGAGGTAGCGCTCCACTAAGTTGCCCGGGCTGGCCTTGAATTTGTGCTCCTCTCCTCAGCCGCCTGAGTGCCACCGTGTCCAGCTAAAACGGGAGAAAGTCCCTCTGGGCAAAGGAAGATGCCGAGGCAGCCGCAGTCTCAGGAGGGTCAGTGCAGCCCAAGAGGCCAAATGGCATCTAGTTCACTCAACAGTGAAATCATCACAAGATTTCAAACAAGAGACCCGAAGCCACCTGCGAAACCTACACTCCCTCCAATGACACCGAAGAAGCTTCATCTTTAATCAAGGCAAAAGTAACATCTGTTTAATTTGTGTATTTTAATTGTCACAGAAGAACTCTGAGGCTTAGCTCTGGGCCAGCCGACCCGTCTGTCTGAGATCCCAGCGTGTCCCCATGTAAGGTCCAGCCTCTGGAACAGGCTGAGACAAGCAAGGAACGTTCACTTCCCACAACTGGGGAGAGGCACCTCACCTACTGAGGCCAGGTTCTGCCAGGTCTCCAGCATCACCTCTCTGTGCAGGTCCCTCTGAGCCGAACTCAGCAGTGCCCACTCCTCCAGGGTGAAGTTCACAGCCACGTCCTCAAAGGTCACAGATCCCTGAAAGAGCCAACGCGTGGTCAGGAGGCTGAGTCCGAAAGCACTGCCCAGCAGGACCCGGCGTCCAGGAGGTGGGAACAGATTCTCTAGTTTCCAGCGTCCACCACGCGGTGCTGTAAAAGGCCAGGACTCCGAGTGCCCCTTTCTCTCCCCCAGATCTAGCCAAGGGAAGGAGTGACAAGAGCTGGCTGGACTGTCTCCTGTCACCTGGAGAGCCCTGCCTTCTCCCCGGTGCTGGGAACACAGGCTGCCTGTGGCCAAGCGGTCCCGGGCGAGCAAGCCCAGCTCCCGCGCCTCCGTGACCCGACCTGCCCAGCCCTCCCCGCAGCCCCGGGCAGAGGAGCGTCCACCCAGGCCGCTGCCCTTGGCAAAGCAGCAGGAAGGACAAGAGAAGCTCCTCCAGCAGAAGCCTGGGGGACTGTGTGGAGACGCTCCTGACCTCTCTGCTGCCACAGGGCATCCTGCGAGCGCCAGTCCACCCGTCAGCACTGGACCCGGGAGAAGCCCCTACGTAGCCCGCACCACTGGACCCCGGGAGCGTTTCTCAGCAGGCCTCAAGTTCCACATCCCTCTGCCGTCTCCTCCGGCTCTTGGCACAGGGGGCTACAGGCAAATAACATAAAGGCGGATGGACCTTTACTGTATTTGCTTTTTTATATTTATTTTATATTTTATGTTTCTATGCACTGCTGGGAATCCAACCCAGTGCCTCACAGGTAGGAGGCAAGTGCTCTGCCTCTGAGCTACGACTCTGCCCCAAGAGAACCAGAATCTTAGTAAACATGATTAAGTGTGCAGCACTCTGAGTTACTGCCCACATGCTGCTGCTGTTTTTAGAGTGGCTGGGAAGCAGCTCAGTGGTAGAGGCTTGCAGACCACTTTCAAGGCCTCAGGTTCAAACCCCAGTACTGCAAAAAATAACAAAGATAACAGACTATAAAAACTAATTTTAATTCCTAAATAATAATTTGAAATAATGTCAAGTTCCAAAGTATATCTAATAAATGACATGAAATAACAACCAAATGGGAAGATCATGAAACATTAAGATCATTAAATGTTGCTGAATGACACCAAAGCAGACCCAGGAGAGACAGCCTCGTTCCAAGAGCAGCCCTGCGTGGCCACACTGAGCACCTCCAGCACACGGGGGGTCTGAGTCTGCCCGGGCGTGTTTTTGATTTTATGGAAAACTGCTGAGTACTGAGGTGAAGGACACATAAAGGGGACAGCCACATTTTCTACAGGACTGAGGAGGGAGGGTCCCTGAAACACACCGAGGCCTTCACTCACGATGGTGGCCAGGAGAGGGTGACGACACAGAAGGACAGAGAGGAATGGAAGGTTCTGAGTCAGCACCAGCTGCGGATGGTCCTGTTTCTGGGGAAGAGCAACCACTGCCCGTGGCAGTGGACATGGTGGGCGCTGTGACACACAGGGCAAGGGCCGTGGTCATCTGGGATCAGCAATGTCTTCACCATCTCCAGGTGACCAACTCAGTGCAGACGGGCTGAATGACAAACAAGGCTCTGGGATCTTGCAGCCCAGTGTCCTGATGGCCCCGGAGCACAGGGTGTTAGGCACATGGGTACACCCAGAGTGCCAAGCTGCAAAGAGGAGACCACCCAGCTTCGCCCCTATGAAAAGCCCCTCCATCAGCATGGAGTCGAGGGACAAAAGGAAAACCTCCAACTCAAGAAGATCCTCACTGCACCCGCCAATCAAAAGGAAGCCGGGAGAACACCAGGCGAGCAGAGGCCCTGGGAATGAGCACACACGGGCCGGTCACCTGACACACGGAGGACTGCTGCCGCGGATGGAAGTGCCCAGACTCAAGGGCAACCCGAAACACCCCTCAGCAGGCACAGGAGACTTGCTGCACCCGCCAGTGACCACCAGGAGACCCTGCTTTATACACTACATGGACAAAAATGAATCCCAAATGTTGGTGATCAAATGGAAGAAATAAAAACATGATGGTGGGGGTCAACTCATACACTCTATTAGCAAATTTCTAGGAAATTAAACTTATCCAATTTACAATCCCATATTTTTTCCTCCAAAATTTAGAAACTGAAGATGCATTTTGCATATGGAGACCAAAACAAAGATTGATGTAGGAAAGATGAGGCCAGACACCCAGAGAATTTGCAGGAAGCAGGTTTATTAAAGCTCTAGTGGTACAGAGAGGAAAACTGCAAAATTCTTTTGACATTTATACTCAGTGAGAGGTTACATAGTTATTTTTTTTTTGAGAGAGAGAATCTTTTTTTTTTTTGTAGATGGACACAACACAATGCCTTTTTTTGTTTTTTTATGTGGTGCTGAGAATCGAACCCGGGTCCCGCAGGCGAGGTGAGCGCTCTACCGCTGAGCCACAATCCCAGCCCTACATACGTCATTATTTTGGGTACTGGGGATTGAACTCAGGGGCACTCCACCACTGAGCCACATCCACAGCCCTATTTTTTTTTTTTTTTTAATTTAGACACACGGTCTCACTGAGTTGCTTAGCACCTGGCTTTTGCTGAGGCTGGCTTTAAACTTGTGATTCTCCTGCCTCAGCCTCCTTCTTGCTCCATATTCTTAGGAGGGACAGAAGGGAGTTTTTACCAAGAAAAACAGAAATAGTAAATTTGGCACAGCAACCAGCCTGACTGCAAAGGTAACTGTTAAAAGAGGAACCTTGCAAGAAAGGGACGCTTCAAACCACAATGAGACATTCTCTAACAATCCTGCTGGCAGGGAGAACTGTTATGATTATGGTAGGGGCCTCTCTGGGGTCTTACCTCAGAATGACTACAGTAGTACTGTCTATGACATCATCGAAAAATAAACGTGAAACAACAAGCCCATAAGCTCTAGAATCAGTGAGTTAACAGGATGACCCACAGCCTCCGCAAATCCTGTGAAAGAGGCCAGTGTGTCTGGGTGGGGAGGGCATGGTTAATATTTTTTAAACTTAATGTTCAAACCAAGTGTTTAGGAACAACCTCGAAACAAACCACTTGCAAGCTTACATGCACCAGGAGCCTCCTCCAAAGCTCGGTGGCTCCTGTGAGGAGAAACTGCTCCTGCTGCGGCTGCACCAGGCTGGAGGCCATCCCAGCTCACCTCATGCACCGTGGGCTCAGCTGGACGCAGCCTCACCTCCCTGCCCCACACCCTACTCCTGTTTCACATCACCACTGACAACCTGGGTGGCAGAAGACCCCGCCCCAGGGTCTGAACACAACAGCAGAACTACTATTTCCAAGGTTCAGGTAGAGAAGGAAATGCTAAGGCACTTTTTATGTCGTTCAGTAACTGGAAACTGTCTCTATGGGAAAACAGGCCTCAGCTAACTGCAAATGCACCGGCACTGAGCGCGCTTCAGCACTGAGGTCCCATTTTACAGGACACAGTCACCTGATGCCCCCACTGGAGGAAATGCAACAGGGACAGTTGTAAACGCTGCACCTTGTGGGAAGAGTACTGTGTCGTTTTTTGTTTTTTTAGTAGTTTTTAGTTGTAGGTGGACACAGTACCTTTACTTCTCCCACGTGCGAGGCCAGCGCTCGGCCACTGAGCCCCGCCCCGCCCCGCCCCAGAGTACTGTTTTGGGGACCACAAGGCCTCTCCACCTGCTTCACCGTGGGGGGCCGAGCGCCTCCGCCGCCACCGCGGTGGGGGGACCCTGGGAGGCCTTTCCGCGGCTGCGGTCTCGGACCGCCCAGCATCACCAGGCGGCGCCAGGGGCAGCCGGACCGAGGCTCCGCGTCCTCGGCAACTGCGAGACACCCGGAGACGCGGGTCCACGTTAGCTGAGATGTGAGGCCCCCAAACCAAGCCCAGGGGACGGTGACCAGGGCATCCCAGCCCGCCGAGGCCCCGCGCAGACCATCCCCAAACGTCCCCTTCCCCACGCGGGCCGCGAGGCGGACGCCGGTCCTCCGGCTCCGTCCTCCCGGTGTCGCCGGCCCGGTCGGGGGAGACCTGGGGCCGCTCCCACGCGCCCAGGCTCCGGCCGCCTGCACTCACCATCCTGCGCTCCTCCGCGGCCACGCGACGCTGCAGCTGAGCGGGGAACCCTCCCGGGGAACCCTCCCGGGGACGCCGGGGCCGCGCTCTCCGTCCCCTGACTCTGATTGGACCGCGGGTCTCACGCCGGACGCTATGATTGGCGGACCCCCAGTTGCCGACCCCCGGCTTTCTGATTGGACAATAATGCAGGGCTCCCGCCTCCCGAGAGGCTTTCGATTGGACAGTGGTCGGACCCCGTCGCGCTGAGTAAACAGTTCCGGGTCTCGGCCCTGGCTCCCTAGGTCGGACCTGGGCCCCCATCCAAAAAGGAGCACCCTGAGCGGACGCCGCGCTGCGGGCAGAGGCCGTGCCATCTTGGGGCCGCGGCGAATAAGCTCGCAGGAGGACCTCGCGGGGCGGGCTGGGCGCCTTCCCGCCTCCTGTCGCTCAGAAGGCTGAGGAACTGTCCAATCCGGAACGAGAGGGGCGTGCCCAGAGAACCACCCGGAGCGCCGAGGGGAACCCTAGCCAATCCAGGGCGCCCGAGGCGGGTCCTTGGGAATCTGTCCAATCGGAGGTGCAGACGTCGGAAGCGCGGCCCAATTAGGGGCGGGGGCGCGGCTGAGCGGCCCTGAGGCCGCAGGTGCGGGTCCGCGGTGACCTGTCCTGGCTGCGGGGCCCAGGAGGGCGGAGGGCGGAGAACGGCGGCGGCGCCCGAGCTTGGGCAGGGACTTCTGGAGCGGAGTCCGCGCGAGTCGGTGGCCCGGCGCTCCGCCCTCGCCCGCGGCGGGACCCGGGGCGGCTCGGTCCCCGGAGCAGGTCCTACTGCCCCGGGCGCGGACGCAGGTGTCCAGGGCCCCTGCCAGCGCGGCGGAACGGGTCCCTCGACTCCCGCCGCACCATCGGCCGTTCCCGCCGCCTCGCTGCCCGTAGGGCCGCGGTAGTGCCCACCTGGACACGGACGGCGGGGTAGACGCTGAGACCCAGGCCTCCATCCGCTGCTGCCCTGCACGGTCCTCGGTCCAGCCCGACCTCCCGACCTCACGGCTGCCCAGGTGGCCGGGCCCCACTCCACCGCTCTGGGCGACCCGCCTGCTGCGCACCCCAGACAGCGCCGTGGGGTGACCCGGGCGCCCTGCTGGGGGAATGCCCGACGCCCCTTCCTCTTCGGGACCGCGGTGGGCACGGATGTCGACCCCCATTCCCCGCCCAGAGACTCTGGAGGTCAGCTCCCCGCGACCTAGAGGTGCTGAGGTAGTGGGCAGTGGTGCGTGTCCGTGGGGGGGCGTGGCCGGCCTCGACCTCCGTCAGTTCAGCGCTGTTCCCTGGGTTTGGGTCTGAAAAGATTCGTTCCCTTATTGGACCCTCAGTTTTTCAGTAAACATAAAAAAACTATAGAGTTTGAAGATAAAAATATGTCCAAAGGGGTGAATTTCAGGTTTAAAAAAAATTAATGTTTCAGCCCTCCCTTGGTTAAGTGTTCTCCCCCTTCTTCCCCATTACCACCTGTCCCCCATGCTGAGCGGGATGTTTGTAAAATGTATTTTTGTTGAATATTATAAAATAGTATTCAACAACCCTGAAGATTACAGGCAAGTCATATGAAAATATTCTAGACTTTTCCATGTGAAACAACATCTGTGCAAGAATACGTGATATACGTACAGTTTGTAGAAATATTAAAAGTCCATCATGAAGGAAAGGCCAGCCTTGATGCAGAACAGGCTTTTACCTTGGCACCCCCCTTGAAATGAAGCGGGTGTGGGGTTCCTGCACTCTGCAGATAACATTTTAAAGTATGTGGTATATATGTACACACACGCAGAGCATAGGATTCATGTTACACATAGTCATATATAGAATTCATATATCGGGGCTGGGATTGTGGCTCAGCGGTGGAGCGCTCACCTCGCACAGGGCGGGGACCCGGGTCTGATCCTCAGCACCACACACACACAAAAAAAGGCATTGTGTGTGTCCATCTACACCTAAAAAATAAATAAGTAAATAAATATTTTTTTAAAATTAAAATTCATATATCAAAAATAATGCGTATTTAGTTATATAATTGTATGTGTTTTTGCACACTCGTGTGCATTGTTCTATGTCTCTACATGTTGTAAAAGCAAAGAACAATCCAGGTATCAATGTGGAGTATTTCCTCAAATGGTTGTTTTAACGTTCTCCTTCAGGTGGCCCCGCAACTGGGAATCGGCTTGGAGTCATGCACTATGTAGGGGTCTGTCCTCCTGTGTCCCCCCCGCCTCCCAGTTTCCATGGTGCCTATGTTTGACTTGCGTGTTTATTGCTTTCCAACTGAATGTTAGATCCACGCAGTGCAGAACTCTTCTGTTCTTCAGGGTGGTCGCCCTCGTGTCTGTGTTCACTAGACTTGTGTGATTGTAACCTGAATGCAGGAGTCCAGGGAGCCAGGGGGCCGTGTTACAGAGCTAGTCTTGAGTGGAGAGGAGGCTAGGCTGGAAGAGGACGCTCCTCTGCCTCTCCACAGTGTGGGCAGATCTAGCCAGCGCCTCACCGGGGGAGTCACAGTGCTGTGGACAGCAGAGGTGTGTGCTGTGTGTGAAGGAAGGTGGTGCCGTGAGTGCAGGCTTTGTAGAGTCACTGACCCCAGACCTTCTGAGTGGATGGTGTCACTGTCCCTGCATTCCCTCGAAGGCAAGCTGATTCTACATTGGCTCTTCAGCGTCATAGGCATGTTGGAGCTGAAGTCTGTGCACCTCTTACGAACACTCATACTGTGGGTGCTTAGTCGATGGCACACCTAACAATCAGTGTGGGAGAGAGTGTTACAGCATCTGATGGTTTAAAACCAGGAGTCTTGGAGTTTCCACGGCCACGCCTGGTGTCAAGAGCCACCGGGAGGGTTCGTGGGACACTGTGGAGGGTCTTGTGGTGCGACTACTGAGTTCAATCCCCAGTGTCTTCCCCCACCCCCCGAATTACACTTCAGCCCCTTGTGGTGGTGCAGGCCTGTCATCCCAGGGGTTTGGGAGGCTGAGGCAGGAGGAGTAACATTCAAAGCTGGCCTCAGCAACCTAATGAGACCCTCTCTCAGAATCAAATATAAAAAGGGCTGGGGATGTGTCTCAGTGGTAAAGTGCCCCTGGGTCCAGTCCTCACTACCCTCCCCTAAAAAGATCATCCCGTGTGTGGCTCATGCCAGTTATTCCCTGGGAGCTCCCGGCTCACCACCTACAGCTCTTGCTGCTAGTGGATGTGGTTAGACGGGACTCCACTCAGAGAAAGACTTGTGGACAGGAGCTGCATAGCCGACCACACTCTTCTCCAACCGTGGGGCACTCTGGTTTCTCCTGCGTGAATCTTCTTGGGTGATGGCCAGGTTGCAAGCGACTAAGACACTCAGGGTCACTCCAGGGGACTGGGCTGCGCAAAATAACCACCAAGAGACAGAGAGACCTTTTTCTTTGGGGGTCCGCAGAAAGAGAGAGAGAGAGAGAGGCCCCACCCCTTGCACGCGCTGACCTCTTTTATTGAGGAGAAGCTATTCAAATGAGGCAAGGGGTCAGGTTTCAGGGGGCTGAGTCTGGCTTCCTGATGTCTGCTGTCAGCAGATTGACTGACATCTAGGAAGGTCACACCCAAGAGCAGAGCAAGAGAAGGGGACACACAAAGGGCATTTCCATGGAACATTCTATCCCAAACAGGGCAAGGGGTAACATCACAAAGGAACGGGTGGGCTGTAGGTCCACCCATGGGGATGTGGGAAGGCACGCCCTGGCAGGAAGACACAGTCGCTCTAGGCAGCCAGATCACAGAGTGACATGCCACACCCATCAGAAGAGGAGACAACGCGGTCACGTGCTAGTGGGCTCCCACAGGTGAAGTGCAGGAGCAGCAGAATGACAAGGCAAATATACAGTGAAATTTAAAATTCTTCCAAAAGGTGACTCATCACCACACTGTGGTCTGAATCCGTCTCCTTGACAAGAGTGTTCAGTGTCATAGTAAAGAGGACATCCTCAAGACATTCTTCCTGTTTTATTGGTTCACGGCCACTTACACCACGGTGGGTCTGTGGCACATGTTTGTACAGGCGCAGAATGTGGCGTTCAGTCTACCCAGGACCCTTCCCCAGGTCTTCCTTTCCTCTTTCCCCCTTGGTCCCTCTACGCCACTGGTCTCCCTTCAGTTTTCTTGAGATCCTCCCTTATCTTTCTTCCCCTTTTCCTCCCTAGTGTTACCACTGTTGGCCGGTGACGAGTCCTTGCTTCCCCCATGTTGAAGAATAACACCAGAGAGCACGCCCAGGCCAGGTCAGAGTAGAAATCAGAAGTTTATTAAAGGACAGCAGAAAAGACTTCTCCGGAGGAAGAAGGGGACCCAAGAGGTGGAAGTGCGGTTGTCTCCCCTTTTTATAGTTTTGGTGATGGAATGTAGGTGGGAAGGCCCGAGGGGTGGGACACAGGTGGGCCAAACAAGTAATCTGGGCCTTCCCCTGTGACCCAGACGCTCGCCGTGCCACCTCTGCCTCCAGATTGCTGCTCCTCTCAGGCTTCTCTTCCTGATTCAGACTCATCGTCCAGTCCCCAGCAGGACAAAGAGCCAAGGCATCCTGTGAAAACAACACTTCACACCGACCACTCTCAGGATCTCTGCCTGCTACAAGTCTCTGCCGTCGAGTCAACCAATTGGTAAGTGGCTGCAAAGCTCTACAAATAGAATTGTAGTCCTCTGGCCAAAGGTGTTTTTTCTGATAATACATACCTTATGTAAGTAAAAAAGTATTAACATCAAAATTGTTAGTTTTCTCAATAAAATAAAAAGGTAGAAAACATGTGATGTTCCGTGTGGAACACAGGGACAGTGAGATGCTAACAGACCCACGTTTCATTGGCCTGATGACCCACGTTTACGGAACCACCAACGACTACAAAAGTCACACTTACAATGTCAAAAACACACTGCAAATTCCTCGTTGGTGCAGCACACTTCAGAATGAGAAAAAGCAACTGAATTTATAGGAAAAACTTCTCTATTGAAATTTTATGTTCTATAAATGAAAGAGCACTTAGAGAAGTCTCGCCCCAGTGTTTATTTGCAGGAAAACTGGAAATTCAATTGATAGGGTTTCACTTTTAGGATGAGGTATTGGCCAAGGCGAGGCCCTAGTTATCAATAAGATTTCTCTCCTGGGGTAAATTTTCTGGACTTTTATAGATGACTTAATTTGCATAGGTTTTTTTTTTTTAACATACTACTTACATTTATAGGGTTTCTTTCCATGGCGACTTCTCATATGACCTTGAAAGGATTTGGCACAACTGAAATCTTTCCCACATTTTTCACATTTATAGGGCTTCTCTTCCAACTGCGCTGCGTTTTCGGAAGGCTGAGGGCCCCTGGGAGGCTCTTCTGCACCGCTCACACTCACAGCCTTTTCTGCACCGCTCACACTCACAGCCTTTTCTGCACCGCTCACACTCACAGCCTTTTCTGCACCGCTCACACTCACAGCGCTCTCTGCAGTGTGCTTTCTCAGGTGTTTACGCAAGGAAGAGGCCCAGCCCAGAGCTTTTCCACACTTGTCACATCTGTAGAGTCGCTTTCCGTTCTGCACGATCACACTCATGGAAGGACAGGAGCCCCCTGAAGGGGTTCCCATCCTGCCAACACTTAGTGATTTCTTTTTAGTGTGCATTCTGACGTGTTTGTGCAGGGACGAAGGCCAGCCGAAGGCTTTCCCACACTTTTCACATTTATAGGGTTTTTCTCCATTGTGAATTCTCACGTGTCTTTGAAAGGACGTGAGCCAGCAGTAGGCTTTCCCACACTGCTTACACTCATAGGGTTTCTCCCCGGTGTGCATGATCATGTGGACGCGGAAGGACTTGGGGCAGCTGTAGGCTTTCCCACACTGCTTACACTCGTAAGGTTTCCCTCCGGTGTGCATCATCACGTGGACGCGGAAGGACTTGGGGCAGCTGAAGGGTCTCCCACACTGCTCACACTCAAAGGGCTTCTCCCCGGTGTGAGTCCTTATGTGTTCAGTGAGAGAATAGGAACGCAGAAATGTCTTCCCACAGAATCTGCACGCGTAGGGCTTCTCCCCACTGTGGGTTTTCACATGCGTCCTGAGGTATGAGGGGCGACTGAAGGCCTTCCCGCACTCGTCACACTTGTGCAGCTTCTGCCCCGTGTGGATTCTCCGGTGCCTCTGGAGGGAGGACGAGTGGGTGAAGACCTTCCTGCACTCGCTGCACTCGTAGCGTTTAGCTCCCCGGGGGCGTTTCCTGGGCGTCTGGCAGGAGGAGCCGCCACCCTCGTTCCTTTTACCCCGTGCACAAAGTCGCTTTATCATATGGATTCTGTTAAAAACGGGGAGCATGTTAATGACTATTAGTGGTTCATTTTTTAAATTTTTTGTACCTTTTTTACTTTTAATTTTTTATGTGGTGCTGAGGATGGAACCCGGGCCTCCCACATGCTAGGCCCGTGCCTACCCCTGAGGGGCGCCCAGCCCTGTGGTCTCTCATAGTTACACACCGGGATGACATCCACCTCCGCGTAAGTGTAGGTGTTCTGCCCTGTTATTTCAGAGTAGAATAAACCAAAGGCTCAGGAAGAGGGTTCAGCCATGGTCCATTACGACAGAAATAGTAAGGTCTGGGGATCCGTGATGATTGCTTCCAACCGAATCATCTTTCAAATACTCAATGTTCCAATCATATGAAGAGGATTTCTGGAAACTTCTCTTTGAATAAATTTGGATCCAGCTTTATCTGCCCTCCTCCCTCCCCCCTTCTTTCCCTCCCCCTTCCTTACGTGGAACACAGGGGTGCTTAATCACCAAGCCATCTCCCAGCCCACCACCTTTGTTAGGGCCCCCCGCTGAGTTCGACCTTGAGATCGCCATCCTCCTGTCTCAGGGTCCTGAGTCGCTGGGATTCCAGGTGGTCACCACTGTACCCAGCATGGCTTTGTACTCTTTGGGTTTTTTTTTTAAGTTCCTTTTTTTTTTTTTTAATTTTTCAGTTGTAGATAAACACAATACCTTTATTTTTTTATGTTTACGTGGTGCTGAGGATGGAACCCAGGGCCCCGCACAGGCAAGGCAACCGAGCCTCTGCCCCCCAAGCCCCCGCCCCGGCCCCGTGTGTTCTAACCTTCCTCCTTACACACTGAGAGTCCCATGAAGTGACACTCACCTCAGATGTCTCCCCTGTTTGTTGTCCCTCTTCTCGATGCTGTGCTGTCCCCAGGTCTCTCCCAAGAGGGAAGCCCAGGTGTCGTTCCTTTTGAACCTGGCAATTTTCTGCTTATTGGACAACGTTTCCCCACAGGCTCCTGGCCGGGCGGGCCCACTGCGTTGACTGCCGTCATCTGAAACCCAGCCAGGGACAGACAGGAGGGCGGCGCTGAGGTCTGGCCCAGGCAGGAGCTCACTGTCTCCTTATTCCATTGTGACAGGCCCAGGGGACCAGAACGCAGGCCCCTAACATGCACAGAACCACCACAAGGACTCGGGCCAAGACCTCCCTGTGGCCTCAGTCAGTTTTTCTTAAAGAAAAGAGGTCTGTCTGGGCTCGTGGTTTTGGAGGCTGGAGGCTGGGCTGCCACGTTAGGTGGCTCCATCTGGCCAGCTTTGGGTGAGGTCCCCCCACCGGGTCAACTGTGGCAAAGGAGAGGATGGGAAGCGGTGGGGAGAGCCGAGGGCCAGGTCTGCTCTCCCAGGAAACCACTCGGTGGGCACCAGCCTGTCCCTGAGGCCAGCGTGCTCCTGCGAGGACCGAGCTCTCCTGACCCGAGACCCTGTCCTCCAACACGCTCCCACCCACGAGCTGAGGACCACGCAGCCACACCAGCCTCCACCGGGGCCTGTGAGTGGGAGCCCACACAAACGGCCCAAAAGCCAAACACGAGCCAGTGTGTCGCTCTGGACCGTCCCGGGGAGACCTCTGTGCTGTCCCCGATGGCAGCCGTGACAGTCTCCTTACCCAGGGTCTTCCCCATCTACTTTCCACACTCTGCAAGGGGCTTAGGTCAGTGGCGGGTGAAGAAGAAGCCGCCCTCACCCACGGAGGCCAGGTGCCGGAAGGTCTCCAGCATCACGTCCCTGTAGAGGCTCCTCTGAGCACGGTCCAGCAGGGCCCACTCCTCGGGGGAGAAGTCCACGAGCACGTCCTCAAAGGCCACTGGGTCCTAGAACAAACCATCAATGTGCACCCGAGAGGCGCTCCGCACTGGGGAACCGACTCGGTTCACAGGAGGCTCCCCCAGACCGTGGCTCCCCACGTCGACTTACGGCCCCTCTGTGGACTCACTTCCCGGGCCGGGATTCCTTTCCCCCCTCCTCCCTCGAGGCCATGCTGGGGACTGAACGCGCCTCACAGGGGAGGTAAATCCCACCACTGAGCTGCCCTCCCAGCCGGAGTCAGCTCTTCCAGTCCTGAGGGTTGTGCCCAGGGAGCTTCACCAACATGAAACCTTCAGTCTCTGAGTTTGGAGGCAGGGTCTCTCGGTTTGCACACGACCTCAGCTGGCGGTCCTCCCGCCTGAGCCCTGCTCTGCCCACGCACAGGTTGGCTTTTCTTGTTTAGAAATGAATGTGGCACATATCAAGGTGCAGTTGGGTGTGACACTCTACCACAGCCGCGGGTACGAATGCCCGAGCCGACAGCTGGGGTGTTCCAAGTGCGCGGTGTCCCTCACCACAGTCACCACGTGTGGGGAACTGTCCCTCCCAAGCCGAGGTCCGCGCCCCTTACCCGCGCTCCCCGCACACCCGTCCCGGGAGCCCCGTCCTGCACGCCCTCCAGCCGGCGGTCTGTCTGCCCTTCCTGCAAGTCCCTCGCGTTGGAGTGGCAGGACTTCCTCTGTCCTGCAGCTTGTGATGTCCCCGTGTGTCCTGGCCACGTTCCTCATCCCCAGCCACAGTTCTGAGCACGTCCCACACACCGAGTGCGTCTCTCTGCCTGCTGTGGCCCTTCCATTCTTTTTTTTAACTACTAAAAAGTTTAATATGAAAATGTGCGTGACCCGATTGGCGTGTCACAGGTCACAGGCCCTCGGCTGAACAGCCACCACCCACCACGCACACGAGTTTCCAGGCCTCTAACGGGTCGTCTCCTCGGGTTACCACCTGTCCAGTGTCGGGCTGCTGCCCGCGGGTCCACCCTGGCGGGTTCCACCCCACAGGTTCCTCTATCACAAGATGCATAAAGGGTCAAATCCCAGAAATACTCCTGGTCACACCTGCCACCATTTCATTTCAATGACACCTCCTTGTCCCTAAACTTTTGGGCGAGGGCAGGGGGGCCCCTCCATCCTCACAGGACCGTGGGGCAGCGTCTGGCAGAGCCCAGGATGCACTGGAGCAAGGGAGAAGAGCTTCATGAAAGTGACACACATTTTCATTTGAAGACTATCGACTCCTGTGGCAAGAATGACCTCATCCTGCCAGTGCCCCACCCACCACTCAGCACCGCACCAACCAGTCCACCCCTGGTGCCAGGGGGTAAAACCCGAGAAGGCTCCGGGTGAGGCCAGGGGTGAGGCCAAGGGTGAGGCTCGGGGTGAGGCCAGGGGTGAGGCCAGGGGTAAGGCTCCGGGTGAGGCCAGGGGGTTCTCCTGCTGCACCCCAATCGACCACAGGCTTCTAAGGATATGTGGAAACCAACTGGCACCAGGTCAGCTGGCCACAGGCAGTCATTACAAGTGCACCAGACTCTACCTGTGCATGAGGACATTTTTGAGGAAAATGCTAATTTTGTTTATTTATTTTGGTGCCAGCGATTGAACCCAGGGTGCTAAGCACTGGGCCACATCCCCAGCACA